ATCGGGACTGAAACCGGGACCAGACCAGGACCAAGCCGTGATTCAGACCAGGACCAGACCAGGACTGAGGCCGGGACTGAGGCCGGAACCAGACCGGAACCAGACCGGGCCTGAGGCAGGGACCAGACCGGGACCAAACCTTGATTCAGACTGGGACTGAGACCTGGACTCAGACATGGACCAGATCAAGATTGAAAACACTTTAGTCCTGGTTTAGTCCTGGTTTAGTCCTGGTTCAGTCCTGGTTTAGTCCTGGTTTAGTCCTGGTTCAGTCCTGGTTTAGTCCTGGTTCAGTCCTGGTTCAGTCCTGGTTTAGTCCTGGTTTAGTCCTGGTTTAGTCCTGGTTTAGTCCTGGTTCAGTCCTGGTTTAGTCCTGGTTCAGTCCTGTTCAGTCCTGGTTTAGTCCTGGTTCAGTCCTGGTTTAGTCCTGGTTTAGTCCTGGTTCAGTCCTGGTGTAGTCCTGGTGTAGTCCTGGTGTAGTCCTGGTTTAGTCCTGGTTTAGTCCTGGTTCAGTCCTGGTTTAGTCCTGGTTTAGTCCTAGTTTAGTCCTGGTTCAGTCCTGGTTTAGTCCTGGTTTTAGTCTGGTTAGTCTGGTTTAGTCCTGGTTCAGTCCTGGTTTTAGTCCTGGTTTAGTCCTGGTTCAGTCCTGGTGTAGTCCTGGTTTAGTCCTGGTTTAGTCCTGGTTCAATCCTGGTTTAGTCCTGGTTTAGTCCTGGTTCAGTCCTGGTTCAGTCCTGGTTTAGTCCTGGTTTAGTCTGGTTCAGTCCTGGTTAGTCCTGGTTCTAGTCCTGTTTAGTCCTGGTTCAGTCCTGGTTCAGTCCTGGTTCAGTCCTGGTTCAGTCCTGGTTTAGTCCTGTTCAGTCCTGGTCCTGGTTCAGTCCTGGTTCAGTCCTGGTTCAGTCCTGGTTCAGTCTGGTTTAAGTCCTGGTTCAGTCCTGGTTCAGTCCTGGTTCTGGTTCAGTCCTGGTTTAGTCCTGGTTCAGTCCTGGTTTAGTCCTGGTTCAGTCCTGGTTTAGTCCTGGTTCAGTCCTGGTTTAGTCCTGGTTTAGTCCTGGTTCAGTTCGGCATCGCAGTTCAAGTCATGTAAACGGGAAACGGTCGTTTTCCGTTTTTTCCATTTTTCATTTAAACACAAAATCCAAAACTGAAAAAAATGAATCATTATCTGTTTTTTCATTTTAGTTGTGGAGACAAATAATTAAGAAAATTGTTGTTGGTTTTTTTTTCCATTTTCTTACTTTTGGTTTTATTTTGAAAAACGAATGAACAAATGAAACATGTATTAAGGTGGAACAGAACATTTGGAAGTTTGGAGATGTAAACAGACTAATAATAAAGAGTTACTCAAACAAAACACAAGTCCAGGTCTGTTTTTGAGGAGGAAACAACATTAAAACATGACTCAAGACACAACGGATTCCAGGCAACTCCAAAACAGTAGAAAAAGTGAACACATCGCACGAGGAAAAATATAATTAAAAGGCCTTTATTTGAATGGCCAAAGCCAACATGTTTAATTGTTTTGTTTTTTTTTTTTTTTTTTTTTTTTTATAATAGTTTTTATTATTATTATTATTATTATTATTATTTTTTTTTTTTTTTTTTTTTATTTATTTATTTATTTTTTTTGCCTGTACCATGTCCTGTCTTTTTCTAATTAAAAGGCCTTTATTTGAAATGACCAAAGCCAAGCATGTTTTAATTGTTGTTGTTTTTTTTGTTTTTTTTTATAATTGTTTTTTTTATATTATTATTATTATTATTATTTATTTATTTATTTATTTATTTATTTTTTTGCCTGTACCATGTCCTGTCTTTGTGCACCTGTTTTGTCTGCCTCCTTTTGACTCCAGCCTTGTTATTGGTTGATGTGTTCTACCCAGGCTTTGTTCTTAATTAAGCCCTGACGAAGACCAGTTGAGGTCCAAACATGTCGGCTTTGGTCATTCAAATAAAGGCCTTTTAATTATATTTTTCCTCGTGCGATGTGTTCACTTTTTCTACTGTTTTGGAGTTGCCTGGAATCCGTTGTGTCTTGAGTCTTGATCCTTTTTTCCAAGAGCGCCTCTGTTTGCTCCTACTGATTGGAAAACCTGCAGCAAACAGCCACATTTTTGTTCTTTCAACATTAAAACATGATTTAAATCTCACACAGTTTTGCACAATATGGAGATTTAACTTCGTAACTTCTTTTCCGCTCTGTTTTCGCAGGACGGTAGACTGAGCGTGAACGACCAGCTGATCTCGGTGAACGGAGAGACTCTGATCGGGCGGTCGAACCACGCCGCCATGGAAACGCTCCGGAGGTCCATGTCGTCCGAGGGAAACGCCCGAGGGACCATCCAGCTCGTGGTGCTCCGGGCGACCAAACAGGTACAGAGACCGGGATCTGACCGGGATCTGACCGGGATCTGACCGGGATCTGACCGGGATCTGACCGGGATCTGACCGGGTCCAGTCATTCTCATTCTTCTCATTACAAACTCCACTAACTCGTCATCTTATCTTACGGTTTAAAGCTTCACTGTGTAACTTTTCGGTTGGATACGTCATCGCTCGGCCTCGAATGTTCCACAGTGTGACTTTAAACATCTCGACTTTACATTTATTCAATTACAGTTTGGTTTTACAGCTCAAAAATACCTCGATAAACAAACATTGTGACTGTGAGCGGCGTCGCCTCTCCACAGATCTGACCTGTAACTTGGTCTGGTTTGGTCTCCATGGAGATAGAAAGGTTTAATGCCGCACTGTGAAATATTCCAGACAAAACAAAAACATCAGCTGACAACACTCACGTCTTTGGGGTCTGGGACTAGGCCGAGACCGAGACCAGAGCGAGACTGAGACCAGACCGGGACCAGACCGAGACTGAGACCAGACCGGGACTAGACTGAGACCAGGCCGAGACTGAGACCAGAGCGGGACCAGACCGAGACTGAGACCAGACCGGGACCAGACCGAGACCAGACCGAGACTGAGACAGACCGGGACCAGACCGAGACTGAGACCAGACCGGGACTGAGACCAGACCGGGACCAGACCGAGACTGAGACCAGAGCCGGACTGAGACCAGACCGGGACTAGACCGAGACCAGGCCGAGACTGAGACCAGACCGGGACTGAGACCAGACCGGGACTAGCCCGAGACCAGGCCGAGACTGAGACCAGACCGGGACAGACCAGACGGGACTAGCCCGAGACCAGGCGAGACTGAGACCAGACCGGGACTAGACCGAGATCAGACCGAGACCGAGACCAGACCGAGACTGAGAGACCAGAGCCAGACTGAGACCAGACCGGGACTAGACCGAGAGACCAGGCGAGACTGAGACCAGACCGGACTGAGACCAGACCGGGACTAGCCCGAGACCAGGCCGAGACTGAGACCAGACCGGGACTAGACCGAGACCAGACCGAGACTGAGACCAGACCGGGACCAGACCGAGACCAGGCCGAGACTAGACCGGGACCAGGACTAGACCGGGACCAGGCCGAGACTGAGACCAGACCGAGACTAGACTGAGACCAGACCGAGACTGAGACAAGACTGAGACAAGACTGAGACCAGGCCGAGACTAGACCGAGACTGAGACCAGGCCGAGATCAGACCGAGACTAGACCGAGACTGAGACCAGGCTGAGACTAGACCGAGACTGAGACAAGACTGAGACCAGGCCGAGATTAGACCGAGACTGAGACCAGACCGAGACCAGACCGAGACTGAGACAGACTGAGACCAGACCGAGACAGACGAGACCAGACGAGACCCGAGACCAGAGACAGACCGGAAGACCGGGACCAGACCGGAGGCTCAGAGCCCACGGCAGGAGCTCGAGGTCTGCTCTGGTCTCGGTCTGGTCCCAATCTCAGTTCTGATCTCAGTCCCGCTCTGGTCCCGCTCTGGTCCCGGACCTGGATCAGTCCTGGATCAGTCCTGGTTCAGTCCTGGTTCAGTCCTGGTTCAGTCCGGCATCACACTCACGCAAGTCACGTAAACGGGAAACGGCCGATATCCGTTTTTTCCAACAAAACAAATCATGATCTGTTTTTTCTTTTTGGTTTTGGAGACAAATAATGAAGAAAATTGTTGTTTTTTTCTTTTCTTATTTTTGGTTTTATATTGAAAAACGAATGAACGAATGATACACAAATTTGTCCAACTCTCAAATTGTTTCTCAAACACAAAACAAACGACATTTCAGGGTCAGAGTTCAGTTTTAGCGATAAATAAATGTATCCGGTTCCATTCAGCTCGTAGAATTTAATGTTGTCATATTTTCCGATGTTGTTCCGGGGTTTATATTTATATTTTTAACTCTTTGGGGCTTTTGAAAGAAATCTCCAAAACTTCTGATCCACAAATGTTGAACTTTCTCATTATTTGTTTGGGATCAGCTCCACAAACGTGTCATATTCATCTTACTTATGACTTAAAATCCTTTTCAATCTCGTCTTTATGGGTTAAATAATGGATCTATATTTAAAAATGACTTCACTTTGGTTTGTTTGATTTTTCTTTAGAAATTCTTCAAATAAGGAGTGGGTTTTTTTTCCCTCAAAGACGCCCAAAATTTCCAAGTTTGTCCTTTTTTTTTGACAAATCTGTCCAAAATCCATGGTCCATTTGCTAATGTGTTGTAATGTGTTTTATTTTTGACAGAAATTTCAATTCTTACTATCATTTTGAAAAATTCACAAGCGTAATTTTCACATTTGTAGCTTGTTCAACTCTCAAACTGTTTCTCAAACACAATTCAAATGACATTTTTGGGTCACAGTTTAGTTTTAGCGTCTTTGGGAATTCCTCAAATAAGAAACAGAATTTATTTTTATAGTTTACAATCATAAACTACAATTTGTTCATGTTTTATTTTCGGATTTTGTGCGGGAATCTACAAAACTCTTTGAGAGATTCACTGTTTTTGAAAAAAATCTCCAAACTTCTCCACCAATGTTGAACTTTCTCTTTATTTGGCTTAATTTTATGTTTTAAAGTCTTTTAAACTCACAACAATCACATTTTTGGGGTTGAATTATGACTCAATTTCTGAATATTTCAAATAAGAAATTCAATTTATCTTTGCCAAATCTGTCCAAAATTACAAAGTTATTAATTTTGTCAGTATATTTTTTGTCATTTTACATCTTTACAATGTTCTTTGCTGGTTGTTTTTCCGTTTTTATATAAATTATTTACAACTTTCTCCAATACAAGTTACCGTTATGCTTTAATTTTGACAAAAATTTCAATTCTTACTATCATTTAGAAAAATTCACAAGCGTAATTTTCACTGTTCAACTCTCAAACTGTTTCTCAAACACAAAATTCAAATGACATTTTTGGGTCACAGTTTAGTTTTAGCGTCTTTGGGAATTCCTCAAATAAGAAACAGAATTTATTTTTATAGTTTACAATCATAAAGTACAATTTGTTCCTGATTTATTTTCAGATTTTGTGCTGGAGACTATAAAATTCTTTGGAGATTTTTTCAAAAACAGTGAATCTCTCACAAACTTCTCCACAAATGTTCAACTTTCTCATCAACAACAATCACATTTTTGGGGTGAATAATGACTCAATTTCAAATAAGAAATTACATTTATTTTTGACAAATCTGTCTAAAATTTCAAAGTTTGTCTTGTTTTCTTTTGGTCAGTGTAGCTGGCACCATTTTACAGCTTTACAATGTTTTTTGCAGATTATTTTTCCTTTTTTATATACATTAATTACAACTTTCTCCAACACAAGAAAACACTGTGTTTTATTTTTGACAGAAATTTTAATTCTTACTCTCATTTTGAAAAATTCACAAGCGTAATTTTCACATTTGTAGCTCAAACTGTTTCCCAGCACAAAACAAACTACATTTTTGGGTCACGGTTTAGTTTTCATCAGAAACACGCCTGAAGAGGTTTTAGAGTCATTCACACATGTTTGAATAATTTAGTGATCTCTCTTTACAGTTAGTGTAACTCAGCAGATTTAGGCTGAGTTCTTCTCAAACTCAAAACACGCCGTTTCACCTTGTGATGTCTGGTTTAGACCTGGTTTAGACTGGTTTAGATCTGGTTTAGACCTGGTTTAGACCTGGTTTAGACCTGGTTTAGATTGGTTTAGACCTTGGTTTAGATCTGGTTTAGACCTGGTTTAGACCTAGTTTAGATCTGGTTTAGACCTGGTTTAGAGATTGGTTTAGATCTGGTTTAGACCCTGGTTTAGACCTGTTTAGATCTGGTTTAGAGTTTAGACCTAGTTTAGATCTGGTTTAGACCTGGTTTAGATCTGGTTTAGATCTGGTTTAGACCTGTTTAGATCTGGTTTAGACCTAGTTTTTAGATTTTGGTTTAGACCTGGTTTAGACCTAGTTTAGACTGGTTTAGACTGGTTTAGACCTAGTTTAGATCTGGTTTAGATCTGGTTTAGAACCTAGTTTTCTGGTTTAGACCTAGTTTAGACCTGGTTTTAGACCTGGTTTAGATCTGGTTTAGACCTAGTTTTAGATCTGGTTTAGACTAGTTTTAGATCTGGTTTAGACCTGGTTTAGACCTAGTTTAGACCTGGTTTAGATCTGGTTTAGACTAGTTTAGATCTGGTTTGGTTTAGATCTGGTTTAGACCTAGTTTTAGATCTGGTTTAGACTAGTTTAGATCTGGTTTAGACTGGTTTAGACTAGTTTAGATCTGGTTTAGACTAGTTTTAGATCTGGTTTAGACCTGGTTTAGATCTGGTTTAGTTTAGACCTAGTTTAGATCTGGTTTAGACCTAGTTTAGATCTGGTTTAGACCTAGTTTTAGATCTGTTTAGACCTGGTTTAGACCTAGTTTAGACCTAGTTTAGATCTGGTTTAGACTAGTTTAGATCTGGTTTAGATCTGTTTAGACCTAGTTTAGATCTGGTTTAGATCTGGTTTAGACCTAGTTTAGACCTAGTTTAGATCTGGTTTAGACCTAGTTTTAGATCTGGTTTAGATCTCTGGTTTAGACCTAGTTTAGACTGGTTTAGATTCTGGTTTAGACCTAGTTTAGATCTGGTTTAGACTTAGTTTAGATCTGGTTTAGACGATCTAGTGTTTAGATCTGGTTTAGACCTAGTTTAGATCTGGTTTAGACCTGGTTTAGTTTAGACCTGGTTTAGATCTGGTTTAGACCTTGTTTAGATCTGGTTTAGACCTGGTTTAGATCTGGTTTAGACCTGGTTTAGACCTGGTTTAGACGATCTTGGTTTAGACCTGGTTTAGTTTAGATCTGGTTTAGACCTTGTTTAGATCTGGTTTAGACCTTGGTTTAGACCTTGTTTAGATCTGGTTTAGACCTGGTTTAGATCTGGTTTAGACCTGGTTTAGATCTGGTTTAGACCTGGTTTAGATCTGGTTTAGACCTGGTTTAGACCTGGTTTAGATCTGGTTTAGATCTGGTTTAGACCTGGTTTAGATCTGGTTTAGATTAGACCTGGTTTAGACCTTGTTTAGATCTGGTTTAGACTTGGTTTAGATCTGGTTTAGACCTGGTTTAGACCTGGTTTAGATCTGGTTTAGACTGGTTTAGACTGGTTTAGATCTGGTTTAGACCTTTTTTCTGCTTCTTATCACGTCCAGAACAAAAACAAAGTTCTTAAGTTCTCATGAAGTATTAACAGTGAGTATGTAACGATATCCAAGTCTCACGATACGATATCCAAGTCTCACGATACGATATCGTCACGGTTTGAATCTCACGGTACAATATTTTTTGCGATATCGTGGGAAAACTCACGATTAGGGATGTAACAATATCCAAATCTCTCTGTACGATATTTTCACAACATTCATCTCACGGTACCATATTTATTGCGATATTTTGTGGAGGCAAACAAAACTTTTTTCCTCTTAAAATACCTGAACTGTTATTTCTTCATGTTTGCGCCAAAATGGAGCAAAGGATCATGGTCTATGTAGTTCCCTCTGTCTTTTTGCTGCACCGTATCTCCTTCATTTAAGCAAAGACACTTGTAATTCGATATATTGTGATGGTCCACGATATTATTGTGAGAACTTTGACGATACGATATCACGATATCACGATATTTACGGTCATTGTTACATCTCTAATGAACAGGCCTTAAACGTGCAGGGTTTGTGTGTTAAACATGTGTGGAGGTCCGTTTGTGACGAGGAAACGACGTTAAAACACAGACTACAGATTCATTTATATTGTTCTGAAAGATTAAAGTCGCACCGTGTAACTTTTCCGCTGGATATCGGACACGTGTCTCCATGGCGACTCGCTCCGTCTGTCTTGTCTCGCGGCGGTTTTCTAATCGTCAGTCGCTGCTAAATGTGGGTTAGCCTGTTTAATATTGTAACGTGGTTTGATCAAATTGGTCTTATTAAAAATGCAGCGTTTCTTATGCATTATGTAACTGCTGATTTCATTTAAAGATTATTCATAACTTGGCACAGATTTGTTTAAAAAAAAAAAAAAAAAAAAAAAACGAGAGCGAGCGAACGGGGTGACACAAACTACGGGAAAAAACCAGGACAGATTTTCACACAATTTATTCAAACCGCTTTGGTTTCACAGAGAATTTCTGAGTGTTTATGAAGCAGATGTGAAAAAGATGGAACATTATCACAGGATTTAATATCAAAACGTTATTAAAACAAAGCCACAGTATGTAACTTTTATTGAGGTGTTTGAGATTATGTGTGGGACATATACGGTGTATATGATCATGGTATTTATACTTTGATGTGGCTTTGTTACCGTGGTGATGCAATAAACTCATTAGGAAACAAACCTGATTAGTTTTAAAGTGACAGATATATATGTGTGTGTATATATATATATATATATATATATATATATATATACACACACACACATATACATATATACACATATGTACATATATATGTGTATATATATTTAAAAACTGTGTTTCTCACCTTCCCTGGTGGTTGGTCTCTCTCATGCAGCTCGGCTCGTCTCAGAGTCTGGGAGTCTGTCAGTTCTTCAGTATCTTTGCTGTTCCAGTCCTGCACTTTTCTGGACTGAGATGTTCTGTTGTTTTTCCTGGTGTCTGTTGTAGTTTCTTCCAGTTTGGAGGTTACAGCCCCGAGTGTCCGATCACCACAGGCTCCACTGATGTCTTCACTTTCCAGGCTTCCTCCAGCTCCTCCTTGAACCCCTCATATTTCTAATGTCTCTTCTTCCTTTTTCCTGATCTCACCACCACGGCTCTGCTCTGTTATACTCTGTATCTCTGTATACATACACATACACATACATGTATATGTATATATGTATATATGTATATATGTATATGTAATATACATGTATGTATTATATACATACACATACATGTATATGTATATATGTAATATACATGTATGTATATTACATATATACATACATGTATATTTTTCTCACTTTGTAACAATAAAAAGTTTTTCTGTGGCAAAATGTGGGTCACAGAGGATAAACATTCTTCATGAAGAATTTATCCACAACTGTCAAGGGAAGAAAGATGAAAACGACTACTAGTAGTAGTCGTTGTTTATTTGTTCATTTTGCAACATAACAAAACAAAACATAGACTCACAGATGGTGTGTGAAGTTTAAAAACACAGTGGAGCACTTCCTGTATCACCACATGACATCACAAGGTGGAACCGAGCGTTTCCTCCTCTGCGTTTGTCCTGAACAGAACCATGAACGTTCACACTGGCTCACAGGCTCCTGAAAACAGACTTTTTAAACCCACTTTTGTCTTTTGCGTTGTTTTTTTGACAGATGTGGCTCGTGTCACCATGGCAACCGCTGATCACTCCACCATAGACACACATGTAGAGCACCCCCAGCGTGACGCCACTGCAAAGTGGAATATCCACGCCGTCTGTAATAAACAATAATTCTTTTGTTCTAGGTCGCCAACGCCAACCGAGCCGCAGCGCCCGCCCACGCCGCCGCCTCGTCCAATCAGACGCCGCCCCCGCCTCCTCCCGTCTCCGCCAATCAGGTACGAGCGAGCGAGACCGGCCCGGATCCTCCTCCGCCGCCGCCGCCGCAGAAAGACCAGCCGTCCCCTCCCGCTCGCTCCTCCTCGCTCTTTCTCCCGTCTTTGAGAAGAAAAGAACTTTTACCGCAAAAAACTCGAAATGTCTCGTCGCGAAAACCGAAAAACTCGTTATTTTACACGAACGAGTTTCGCCGGAGCGGGTACCAGTTTGGGTTTAAAGACGGGGAATCTGACGACGAGATCCAGTACTTAACGAGTAAAAGTTTTGATAATATGCAAGATTTTGAATGTACGGACTTGAATAATTCTTATAAAACCGATTCTCGATTTAGTCGAAGTTACACGGAAAATATTCGTGCGATGGCGGGACAAATGTACGGCGACTCACCACCGAGAAACTTCAATCTAAGAGACGATTTTATTTACGTTGACGCTTATAACTACGAAATGAACACAGCTTTAACCAGAAAACATCATTTAAAACATTCAGGGAGGCTATAGGGACGATTTTATTGCACTGAAAGACTAAAGCTGCACTCTGGAACTTTCCTGGCCGCCTTCTCGTCTCCGTGGAGATGTCGTTGTCGGGTTTCCAACTTTTAAGTGTGAGACAATCTAGGAAATTGCAAATAATGAATGAAATGTAAACTGGTATTTAAATTAAGACAAGGTGCATTACGTCACTTTTCTGGTCTGGTTGCCATGGAGATGTTGTTGCTTTGAGTGTAGGAGTTTCCGCAGTGTGGCTTTAAATTTATCTCCTATTATAGAGACAATCAAGGGGCGTCAATAAGGAAAACAAGAAAAGTTCTGGTTTTAGGTCTTGGTTTAGTGCTGGTTTTTATTCTGATTTAGTCCGGATTTAGTCCTGGTTTAGTCCTAGTTTAGACCTGGTTTAGACCTGGTTTTGTCCTCGTTTACTCTTGGGTTATTTCTGATTTAGTCTTGGTTTAGTCCTGGTTTTAGTCCTTGGTTTACTCCAGATTTAGTCCTGGTTTAGTCCGGTTTTAGTTCTGGTTTTTATCCTGGTTTTAGTTCTGGTTTAGTCTTGGTTTGGTCTTGGTTTAGTCCTGATTTTTCATCCTGGTTTTAGTCTTGGTTCTGTCCTTCTTCAGTTCTGGTTTAGTCCAGTTTTAGACCTGGTTTAGACCTGGTTTTGTCCTCATTTACTCCTGGTTTTAGTCCTGGTTTTTGTCCTGGTTTAGTCTTAGTGTCGTCCTGGTTTAGTCCGGTTTCAGTCTTGGCTTAGTCCTGGTTTTAGTCCTGGTTTTAGTTCTGGTTTTAGTCCTGGTTTTAGTCCTGGTTTAGTCTTGGTTTAGTCCTGGTTTTAGTCCTGGTTTAGTCTTGTTTAGTTTAGTCCTGGTTTAGTCCGGTTTAGTCTTGGTTTAGTCTGGTTTTTAGTCCTGGTTTTAGTTCTGGTTTTTAGTCCTGGTTTTAGTCCTGGTTTAGTCTTGGTTTAGTCCTGGTTTTAGTTTTAGTCCTGGTTTAGTCTTGGTTTAGTCCTGGTTTTAGTCCTGGTTTTAGTTCTGGTTTTAGTCCTGGTTTAGTCTTGGTTTTAGTCCTGGTTTAGTCTTGGTTTAGTTCTGGTTTTAGTCCTGGTTTAGTCTTGGTTTAGTCCTGGTTTAGTCCTGGTTTTAGTCCTGGTTTAGTCTTGGTTTAGTCCTGGTTTAGTTTCTGGTTTTAGTCTTGGTTTAGTCCTGGTTTAGTTTGGTTTAGTCTGGTTTAGTCTGGTTTAGTCTGGTTTAGTCCTGGTTTAGTCTTGGTTTAGTCTGGTTTAGTCTTGGTTTAGTCCTTGGTTTAGTCTTGGTTTAGTTCTGGTTTTAGTTTTCCTGGTTTTAGTCCTGGTTTAGTCTGGTTTAGTCCTGGTTTAGTCTTGGTTTAGTCCTGGTTTAGTCCTGGTGGTTTAGTCCTGGTTTAGTCTTGGTTTAGTCCTGTTTTAGTCCTGGTTTTAGTCTTGGTTTAGTCTGGTTTAGTCTTGTTTAGTCCTGGTTTTCCTGGTTTAGTCTGGTTTAGTCCTGGTTTAGTCTTGGTTTAGTCCTGGTTTAGTCTTGGTTTAGTCCTGGTTTAGTCTGGTTTAGTCCTTGGTTTAGTCCTGGTTTTAGTCCCTGGTTTAGTCCTGGTTTAGTCCTGGTTTAGTCTGGTTTAGTCCTGGTTTAGTCCTGGTTTAGTCCTGGTTTAGTCTTGGTTTAGTCCTGGTTTAGTCCTGGTTTAGTCCTGGTTTAGTCCTGGTTTAGTCCTGGTTTAGTCCTGACTCAGACAGGTCAGATCTGTGAAGAGGCGAGTTCGCTCCCATTCAGAAAACATATTTATTTTCAACGTTTTTTTGACGAATAAAAACCCGTAATTGTGTGAATCCAAGACAGAAAAGTTTAAAGCCACACTGCGGGACATCACCACAGAAAAGTTCCATAATGGACCTTTAACATCGACCAAAAAAACAAAAAAAACTCCCCAGATTTGAAATATGAAAGGATTTCATGAGCCATATTAATCACTTTTCCTTTTTCCTGCCAGATGTTAAATGTTGGCACCTTTTACTTGACTTTTCCGTTTTTAATTTTAATTTTTTTGTCCCGTTGCCAAGACGACCGTCCCAATATTTCCTTAGTCCCTTTAAACGGTGCAGTATTTTTCCTGGACTTGACAATGTTTTACTTTTTTCTTTCACTGCTGGACCGAGAATCAAAACGGCGGCACTAAAATGAACTCAAACCCAAACATTTTTTTATTTAATTTTCAGCAATAAATGTTTAAAATTATTGCAAATTATTTAAGTTAAATTTTCTGTACCCGATTTTACTGTTTGAAAAATGTGAAATGCGCTTTAAAGGGGGATTATTTTGCAAAATCGTCGTTCTTTAGCTTTGTTCCCGCATCAAAAACACGTCCGAAGAGGTTTTAGATCATCAACACATGTTTGAGTAATTTAGTGATCTGTCTTTACAGTCGGTGTAACTCAGCAGATTTAGACCGAGTTCTTCTCAAACTGAAACTGAAAACATGATGTGATGTCTGGTTTAGACCTCATTTAGACCTGGTTTGGACCTGTTTAGACCTGGTTTAGAACTGGTTTAGACCTGGTTTAGACCTAGTTTAGAACTGGTTTGGACCTGGTTTAGACCTCGTTTAGACCTCATTTAGACCTCGTTTAGACGTCGTTTAGACCTTATTTAGACCTGGTTTAGACCTGGTTTAGACCTGGTTTAGAACTGGTTTAGACCTGGTTTAGAACTGGTTTGGACCTGGTTTAGACCTCGTTTAGACCTATTTTAGACCTGGTTTAGATCTGGTTTAGACCTTGTTTAGTTCTGGTTTAGACCTTATTTAGACCTGGTTTGGACCTGGTTTGGACCTGGTTTAGACCTAGTTTAGAACTGGTTTGTACCTGGTTTAGACGTCGTTTAGACCTGGTTTAGACCTGGTTTAGAACTGGTTTAGACCTGGTTTAGAACTGGTTTGGACCTGGTTTAGACCTCGTTTAGACCTTGTTTAGTTCTGGTTTAGACCTTATTTAGACCTGGTTTAGACCTGGTTTAGACCTGGTTTAGACCTGGTTTAGACCTGGTTTAGACCTTGTTTAGACCTTTTTTAGACCTCATTTAGATCTGGTTTAGACCTGGTTTGGACCTAGTTTGGACCTCGTTTAGACCTGGATTAGACCTGGTTTAGACCTTGTTTAGACCTATTTTAGACCTCATTTAGATCTGGTTCAGACCTGGTTTGGACCTAGTTTGGACCTCGTTTAGACCTGGATTAGACCTGGTTTAGACCTTGTTTAGACCTATTTTAGACCTCATTTAGATCTGGTTCAGACCTGGTTTGGACCTAGTTTGGACCTAGTTTGGACCTAGTTTAGACCTAGTTTAGACCTGGTTTAGACCTGGTTTAGATCTGGTCTCTGCCCACAGCCCTACATCCTCCAGCCTCTCACATGAAAATTCTCCATAAATTTACAAAAACACGACTCAAAACTTTTACTACGACTTCACAAACCTGACTCGATTCAGGAGTTTCATTATTTTCATTCTTTTTTTTTTACTTGCCGCCTTTTTGATTCCGAACCCTGTTTATCCGAGTATTTTCCACTGTTACTTTTGTCTTTCTGTTTGTTTTTTTTCTGAATTTCTTGTGATTTAAACGTTTAAATCTGTTCCGCTCTTTTGCCTTAAACCTGCTTTTCTCTAAATGCACTGAACTGACTCCTGCATGTTTTTAAATGTTGGTTTTCGGTTTTTCCTCGGGGCTTTTCCTGGTTTTATTAAAGAATTTTCAATCCTTCTCTCCTCTGTGTGCGTCTGATTCTTCTTGCCCTTTGCTGATTCCCTTTTTTCACAAATTAAATATGAATTATGAAACGGGTTCGTGGGTAAAATTTCACTATTTTGAGAATTTATGTCTGAGGAAAGTAAAATTTTAAAGGTAATTCAAATTCTCCTTAAAAAAAAAGATTTTTAGATTAATTTTGGTACAATATTTAGAATAATAAACACTATTATTTTGATTTTCACATATGTATTTTAAAATTTGAAAATATTATGTTTAGACCATGGACAGTCCTGGGTTAGACCTTCTGATTTAATCCTGGTTTAGTTATTTAGTCCTTTTATTTAGTCCTGGTTTCCTGGTTTAGTTCAGATTTAGTCCTCATTTAGTCCTGGTTTAGTTCTGATTTAGTCCTGGTTTAGATCTGATTTAATCCTGGTTTAGCTTTGATTTAGTCTTGGATTGAACCTGGTTTAGTCCTGTTTTAGTCCTGGTTTAGTCCACATTTAGTACTGGTGTAGACATGGTTTAGACCTGGTTTAGTCGTGGGATAGACCTGGTTTAGTTCTGATTTAGTCCTGGTTTAGACCTGACACAGGTTTAGCTTTGACTTTAGTCTTAGGTTGGACCTGGTTCAGTTCTGGTTTAGTCCTGGTTCAGACCTGAGTTAGTTCTGAGTTATATCTGGTTTAGTCCTGGTTTAGTTCTGGTTTAGACCTGACATAGATCTAGCTTTG